CCCCCTCCAGTGACCCACATCTTCCTATCACCACATTTTACTATACATTCATCAGTGGACTAATCCCAAAAGCCTCCCCTATGAGTGCATAACGCTTAGAGGAACATTTTAGATATAAGCCATAACATTCTGCTCCTGGCCCCCAAAAGACTCATGCATATCCCTTTATGCAAAAGGCGCTTAGTCCATGTCTAAGAGATACCAAAGTTGTAACAGTTTCAGCATTGCTGAAGTCTAAGTCCAAAGTCTCCTTTGAGAGTTAAGGCAAATTCTTAGCTGTGAGTCCCTATACAAACAAAAAGAAAGCTGAATATTTCCAATGTACAATGGCACAAGATAAACATTCTACTCCAAAAGGTAGAAAAAGAGGGGGAAGAAAGAAACAGGACCAAACCAAGACCTAAACCCACCAGGGAAAACATTAAATACCATAGCTCTAGATCCAGCACCCAGGGCAACCAGTGGAAAGATGTGAAGATGTGAACTCCAAAGGACTTGGGTAGCTCTGCCTCAATGGCACTGCTAATGGTTGTAGCCCTCATGGCCTCTTTCTCTTGGGTCAGCTTTGTACACTTCTTACAGCTTTTCTTAGACATTCCACCTTCTTGGCTTTTCCAGTACCTTGGGGTCTCCACTGCACTTTCATGCTCACAGCTCACACACTGCTCTCAGGGGCACACTGCCTGGCCCACCAGGCCTTCTGAAGTCTGGGTGGAAGCTGCCTTGACCCCACCACTCTTGCATTCTGCACACCTGTGAAACCAGCACCACGTGGATGACACCATCTGATGCCAACTGGACCAGCAGCTGAGGGCTTTTGCATCTTACTGATGGTGGCAGAAGCCTCTGAGTGCCTAGATGCCTAAGCATAGTGAACTGAATCCTGGCAAATCAATTCCCATTCTCTAGGCTGCAGTCATACTGGAACACGGTACCCTGGAGCTCTCTCTTCAAAGCCAAGTCTTTCACTTTTGTAATTTTGGGCCTGCAAACGGGTGTGAGGCCTTCAGGCTGTCTATTCTATTGCTCCGTTCCAAAGCAGCATTTAGCTATTTAATGCCAATCTTTTCAGCAACCAGGTTCTCCTCTGCTCCATCTTTGCAGGTCCCAACTTTAGCAGAGCTTCCTTTCTGGCCAAACTCAAAGCTTTTTAAATCATTTTGCTGGGCTGTTTGCTCTTGATTCTCAAAGTAGAGCTGGCTAAAAGCCCCCAACAGTAGCCATGCCACTTCCTCAACATTAGACTGCCTTGAACTTTCTTCTACTAGATTAGTCTGCTGTACTTCATTTCAGTTTCCTGCAAAGTCTCTAGACATGAGTAAAACACAAGACAGATTTTCAGCCAGACCACAACACACGACTTGGAGTCCAAATGCCAAAGGAGGGGCTGAGGATTTAGCTCAGCGGCACAGCGCCTGCCTGGCAAGCGCAAGGTTGTGAGTTCAATTCCCAGTACTGGAAAAAAATAGGAAAAAAAAAA